ACAGCCCCAATGTTCTCAGCCTGTCTCCACACAGGAAGTGCTCCAGCCCCTGAGCATCAGACACCAGAGCTGCACACAGTGCTGCAAGTGGGGTCTCAGGAGACCAGAGTAGAGGGGTAGGATCACCTCCCTCGACCTGGTGCTCACGCTGATCTCAGCTGCATCTCTTCTGAAGGTACATGTGTCTTGTCCAGCAAGGTACGGACACCTAGGGATGTGGCTGGAAAGCCTGGGAAAGACTCTCCTTGAGCACAGCTCTGGGCTGCAACCTCAGAGACTCTCCCCATGCTTTTTCTCCACCACTGCAAGTGAGGATAGAATAGAATCATAGACTCATACTATTGCACAAGCTCTCAGTCCTGGGCTGTGTTTTGGATCTGTGGGAGATTCCTGTTGACTACACTGCATTAGCTCTGCTGTATCAGCACACTGCCTCTCCTGGTGGCAGCTATGGGGGGGAAGGCTATAGCCAGAGAGCACGCAGAGACATCTTCCTTCACTGAAGACTAACAGTTGGTGGCAATCAGTGAATTAGGGAACCTCACAGAGGCTGCAGCCGCATCCCCATGTTTAAGAGCTGCCAGTGGGCCCAGTCTCCACAAATTTGTCTAATCCCTTTTTTAACCCATTTGTAATTCCAGTCTTTGCAACATCCTGCGGTGCTGCTTGAGCCTTTATTTGTTCTAAACCTGGTGTCTGGACAGATCATCGGATGGCTGTTTCCCTTCCTGCCAAAGCCACTTGGCTTCACCTCTTTCCTTCAAAGAGGGCTCTGATGCAGCACCAGGAGTCATTATGGCCTGAAAACATCCGTTTGAATCCCACAGCATCATGTCAAAGCTCCGAACTGTGTGTGGTCTTTTAAATACAAAATGTAGGCTTCAAAAGTTGAAGGGTATTTTTCCCCCCCTTCAGTGGTCTGGGAAGGAGCAGATTGTCCTTGGGTTGCTTGTAGAAGCCAGAGTTCAGCAGCTGCTGCTCCTTTGGCTTCTCCCCACCTCCAGGACTGATGATACCCTGGAAGGCAGGAGCAGGATGGGGTTTGGAGGGGCTGGGGCAAGTTCTGGCGTTGCTATCTGTATTTACCCTGAATGATGGAAGGAGGGGAATCAACACTGCAATCAGCTGTTCAGAAACAATCCATTTTGAAAGAAAACAAAGAAAAGAAAAAGAAAGAAAGGTAAAACTTCCACCCTTGAAAAAAAGGAAAAGGTTTCTGAGCAAGTTTAATTTTGGTGAGCATTTCTGAGATCTGAAACAGAGTATTACAGGGAGCTCAGGGAGGGACAAATGGATTCACTAGCCAGAGAGTTCAGTAAAAGCCTGAAATTCACTGAACTCTGTGCTTCTGGGTGTAACGAAAGTTTAAGAGCATGATCCTACGCTGCTTGGAGATAGTGGGACTTCTGCCTTGGTCAGACAAGGGTCAGGCCTAAATAAAGGGCTTAGGTCCCCAACAAAGCAGATGTGCTGTCCTGTAGGGTACAGGTGAAACACCTTTGTCTAACCAAGCAGATCCTGTTGTCCTGGCACAAGTCAGAGCTCATTTCTGCAGGGAATACCCCTTCGCTTGCTTCAGGGGAGCAATTTCCCAGCGACTGCTGCTGCCCAGGAGAATATCCATTTGCAGCCCGTGTGGAATCTGTATCTACCACCATCATCCCACTACAGCGCATCCGCATTTTAGCTCTACCTAACTCATGTGCTGCGTGCCCTTTTAAACCAATGAAGGGGGCTATGAAATCTGCCCTTGCATGGGTAGAGCAGAGCTCAGGGAAGCTGGCCAGGGAAGCTGTAGCTGGCTGCCTTTTCCAAAAGGGAGCAAATTCCTTTTCTTGGATACACCATGCTGGACCCTGATGTTAGCAGGCTATTAATAGCAGCAGGTCACTCTAGGGGAATGCATGAGGAGGTTTGCATGTGGAGGGATGCTGCAGTTAGTTAGCCAGAGGCTGGCTTCACCTGGGTCTCTCTTTCTGATCTCACAAGCTTTGTCCTCGTAAGTGTGTGTGCTTGGAACAACCTGTACCAGTGGTTGCAGTCACTTTGGGACTTCAGCCTCACGTTGTGCAGAAGTGCAGCCAGGAACCATGCAAAGCTGCCTTTAGTGATCTGTTAAACCAGAAACGGAAAGAAATGTTGCCTGGTGCGTGAGTTTGTCCCGAAGACAGCCATAGGTACACTTGTCTCTGTATAATGTATACATAACGTATAGTTAATTTAGTTGTTGTGCAATTTGTTATGCCGAGGATAAACCAAAGGGCTTCCCACCCAGCACCGGTTTTGCATGGTGGTGTCATGGATGTGAACTGAGTTTATAGAATCAGACCTTTGTTGCGTTTATCTCTTCTCTAGTTAATCTAGATTACCATTTGAGGCGACAGGCCATTGAATACATGGAAGGTGAATTATACAGCACCATAGTCTCACCATATAATGGTAGAGTAGCATAGGCATTACAAGTGAATATGGCTCTCTGACAGAAAGCAAAGCCCTCCCTCACCCCCTTTTTAAGAGCAGTGCCTCTGAAAATGACATTCGTTTTACTGTGGTCCTTAAGGCTAAAAGGAGAGGCACGTGTGACTCTTTGGCTCTTCAATTAAAATGAACTTTATTGCAAAAAGCTTGTTCTTTTGTTGTCTTGCCAGCTGGGTGGCTTCAGGATCTCGATCAATACATGCACAGCATTGTACAGTAGTTGTTCCCCATCCTCAAGAATGCACAGATTATGAATTCATAGGTTGGTGGTGCAGCTGATGGTGGCTTTGAGCTTCTCCATAGTCAGAAAAGGACTGAACCCGGTGCAGGCTGCCCGTATACAGCTTCAGTGAACCCAGATTTTATACTTGGACTTAGCCTGAGCTGGCAAAACAACACATCAGCCTCAAGGCTACCACAAAGGGTGCATCAGGCTGGCAGGGTCTGAAGCCCAGCTTCATCCTGGCTACCCTTAAATACAGGGGAAGCTAACTGAGGTGCCTGATTTCAAGAGCATCACCTAAACTCTAACACCTCCAGCCAGTGCAAGTGAGAGCAGGTGATGAGAATGGGATGAACCACCCTGGAGAACCAGTTTATCCATGTTGGGAGAAGAAATATAGGGATCTTAGGGTGACCAGTTAGTAATGCACTGAGTTGACAGGCACCCAGGTCTGCGTGTCTGAAAGTGTTCAGGTCCTGCCAGAGAGGACTACAGAGCTAGTGAAGCATCAGAGTAGCTGCTGTTGTATTGCTGGGACTGCTCAGACCTGGGAAGTGGGAAGGAAAGAGGGAAAACAGTGAGGTGAAGACAGAGGAGCAATTTGGGATAACGACAGTGAGTAAAGGAAGGAGAAAACACAGGAAAATCTAGAACAAAGAAGCTGAAAAGGTCACAACACTGCGCTCAGAGCACTTCGTAATGGTGTGCCTGTCTGCAAACCTGCTCTGAGCAGTGTGTTTGTTCCTCTCTCAGCACAATGCATTGGTGCTTCAGCTCCTCACTGCTGAGCAGCCCTAATGAACGCTCCTCTGTAGCCTCCTAAACCTCTCCCATGGCTTGTGTGGGCTACACTAGCATGCTTATAGAAGTTTGCTTAGCCATTAATAGATCTGCCCTCACTTCAAACTGCACCAGTGGCACGGAGCTTCAGGACCCCCTGTATCCTAAACAAATTCCTGGTGGCACGCCAGATTTAACTGCACACAAAAGCAATGTTGTTTTCTGGGGTTTAGGGCACCGCCTTTACATTCAACTGGAGGTGTTTTGCAGCCATCTACAGCCCATTGCCCTGATGTGAACCCAAAGGAACAGAGTTGTTTTCTCCACAGGTGCGTTTGTCCCTATGCATCACATCACATCCTGGGTGCTGGCGTGGGCTTCAGCGCTGAGGATTTACAATTTACAATCAAATTTACATTTGATTGCTCTGCTTTTAAAAGAATGTCACTCTCAGAGAGAATTTCCATGCCTCGGGACACAAGGAAAGGGTTGTTAGGGCTGTTTCGAATGGAGCCTTGGCTCTTTGTGTGTCAGGGTATTCCGCTTCAGCTTCCCATTTGTGGGCTCTTTGCCCCCGTGCTGGTGTCTTCCAGCAGACCAGACCTCCCTGGTAGTGGAGTAATAGTGGAATGGATTATCATAGAATCAACCATGTTAGGAAAGACCTTTAAGCTCATCCAGTCCACTCGTTCCCCAGCACTGCCAAGGCCACCGCTAACCCATGGCACTGAGGGCCTCATCTACACAGTGTATGCACACTCCCAGGGATGGTGATCCCACCACTTCTTAGTGCCATCTTTCAGGGGGTTTGAAACTTGACCGAGTATTTCTCTCTCTAAAGCATTAGTTATGCCTGCAGTGAGGCCCTGAGGACCTGTCAGGTATTCATGGTGCAAAAACTGGACTTGCAACTCTCAATCCTCATTCTGACCATGTGAACACTAGTGCTCCATGGGGGATGCCTTTAGGATGGATATTGCAACCGAAGGAGTAAGTTTTGCAATCTCTACTACCTCTGAGCACCAGGGGTGAGCAAGTCCTGAGAGGGAACAGCACTGGAGGACCCACATCCCACCTGCTCTTGGCTGCTTGACAGCCCTCAGGGGTTACAAACCACCTCTGGAGTGTGGTTTGGAGCAGCCTGAGGTCACATATTGAGTGAGGGGCTATGGGCATCTCCTCTGTAGTTCCCTCACTTCTCTGGTGCTCAGGCCTGAATCTCAGAGTTCTGTGGCTTTGAAGAAACCATCGCCCATGTCTGACTACATACATCCACAAGGTTCCTGCATTTAGGAATGTTGCTGGTCGCTATCTGTGATGGGAGGTGGTTGCTCCCGAGTGAGGATTTGCTTATGCAGAGTCGTTGAGGAAAAGCTTAATCTGAATTAACTAAATGTGTGAATTGAAGGTGGATTAGTGGTGCCACATCAATGGATGGATTCCTTCAATTCTTCTCTGCAGAACTAAAATGGTCCTAATTTGTTTCAGCATAATTATGAAAGAGGATGTTACACGGGCCTTTAATGAGATATAATTTCCTGACCGTAAAAGTTAGTCTGGGTTAGTTTCTTTGTGCCTCCCAGCAGGGGTGAGATTAGGATACAGTCCCGATTTTGCTTTTAGTAGGAAACCCGTATTGTCTTTACTGGGGATTTTAGTAACTGATTCTGATAATGAAGGAAGCGGGTTTTATTATGATTATACTATTTTTAATCTTAGGTTATAAAAGCAATTAATTAATCCTCCTCATGTCCCTGTGAGGCTGGTAAAGGCGTTGTAACAATCGCTTCATTCCTTGCTGTGCTATGTCTGCTTGTAGTGTGGAATAGAGCAAAGCAGGGCTACAAGATATGGGAGGGGAAATGAATATCAGATCTTATTGAATGCACAAGAGGAATTAAGCAAGGAAAAGGATGTTGCTACCCAGCTTAGAATTTGGTCGAACCACCATGATGCACTCACCAAAGAGTGTCAGGGGAGCTTTGGAGATCAGGGCGTCTGCTTTATATCTAACCAGCTCTACAGCACGTATAATGGTACCACACACAGTGCACTGTGCTGTGGGGGTGGCTTAGTAGCAGGGTGTGAATATCAAGGATTAAGAATAATTTATCTGCTTTCCTTTCATGTGGCAATGGGATTTATCCGGTTAAGTTACATTTCTTCCCCCAAAAAATGAATGAAAAGAAATGTTAAGAAGAAAACCCCTCTGAGATGATGACTGCTCTCTGAAGGCTGACTGCCCATTCCCAGAGCCTGCTCCATCGCTGCTGCAGTGCCAAGCGGTATTCCTCGCCATCCCTTCTCCTTACAGACAGCCTCTTCCTGCTCCTCAGCAGACGGTGTATTTCCTACTCGATGCTAAGTCTCGTGTTTGCCTCACTTCTTTAAATGAGAGCAAGCACGGCGCTTTTGTTCTGCTCCTTTTGCAGTGCCGTTTTGCTGATCTTCTCTGCGTGTATCTGAAAGGTCAGGAAAACAAATCAATACAGAAAAGGACCTCCTGCCCCTTTTAACCTAACATGTGGGAGGGAGGGAAAGGAAATCGCCAATTACATGAAAGGGAACTTTAAATATGCTTGAAAAAAGCACAGTGGGAGTGAGGGTTTGGAAGGAGAGGTGTTGACAAGACCAGTCTCTGCAGTTCACAGGGTGCCTTGAGGAACATGGGGTCTTCTCCTCCACGGCAGCATGTATGGGCAGATCCATAGGGCTGAAAAGCATCCCGTGAAAGGCACCGTGAAAGGGAATGACCCTCTCATTTCAGCATCACTGACTGTGAAGGTGTCTGTGAGAGAGACCTTGATACACTGAGAGCTGGACGGAGACTCGCCACGTGATTCGATGGCTTGCAGATGCTGACCACTGTCTTCTGCTAGCTTCAGTGGGTTTGCTTCAGTACTTTCTGGCTACCACTGTCTTATTTCCACTCCTCCAGGTGAGCAGCTTCTGCAGATAACCACCAGAGCACCAGGAAGTGGGGCAGATGCTCCATATCTGCACAGCAACTGGACCCCTGCTGCACCATCACTGGAGCAGTGAGGCCTGTAATTGAGTGTTGGTCTACACTCAAGCCTGAATACTGCAGGCAAGTGTACTAGTGACTGCCTCTGTTCCCAACATGTAGCCTCAAGCGTTCAGCTGAGAGTCCTCCATTAGAATAACATTCCTGGGAGCTTCCTTGGCAGTCAATGGACAGGAGAGAGCTCTCCCTTTCCTTTCCAGTGATGAAAACTTCTAGAGTGCTCATATAGGATCATATAGGGTCTTCATGCAAGTGTATCACGTTAGATGCAAAAAATTCAGACCTTACTCTCTTGAATTATTTTAGTCTTTAAACATCTGCCTTTGAATTTAGCCTTGATTGATCCATCATCGGGTGCAAGGCTCTTGAACACTGTGCAAGGTGAGCCTGCAGAGCTGTGGCTCTGATACCTCTGGTGTTTTGATTTAAGGCTTTAGCTTAAGCCACCAACAGAGTACTCTGTGTGCATGTGTGTGTGCATAACACATTGTACTTTTTCTGCCCACAAACTCACAATTAGAGTAGGCTACCAATGACTGTAAGTTTGGCTTCAGGAAACAGATGTTCCTGTATCTTGCAGTGGCCTCAGATCTCTAAAAGAGATGAACCACAAAGATGAATGCTAATAAGTAAAGCCCTAATAAGTAAATTTCAGCCATCTTCTTCTGTGAAATCCTTGAAATAGTGAGACCATGAGGCAACACCATGCCTTTGGGTTAGATGGCTCCTTCGTGGAAGAGAAATCACAAAGCTCTGGCTATCACCTTACTGGAGGGCATGGAAAAGGACTTTCATGGGTGAATGGTCTTTTAAATCCCTAAAGCCACCAAAGGTTTCTGAAACACACCTGGCCATTGCTGGGACACTTGTTCATACATAGCCATGTGTTTGCTTACACAAGAGAGGTAAACTAAGTCCTTTTTGGAGCCCTCTTTCCCTATCACACTGTTGGGGTACAGATATGACAGGGCCTAGGTTTGAGTCATCCATGGTTTGAAGTTTAATTTTGCAAAACCCAAATTTTCCACTTGAACTTCCCTAAGAGCATCTTCCAATGTGACCTCATGTCAGATTTGCCCTCGTGCTGGCAGGGGTGTGAGCAGCCAAGATGCACAATGGGGATGTCTATAACCATGCGACCACCACTGGTGATCTAGTGCTTCACTTCTACATCAAGCAGTGCATGGGGGCAAAGGGTGCAGCTCCATCAGCTCTGCTGCTCAATTTTCCCTTGTGGCTAAGCTAAAAGCCTTGGAAAACGCTAAAATCCCCAAAGGTAATGCAGGACAGCACTTAGCTTCTCTAGTATGTGAGCAATGTTGGGTACTCACTCTGCAGTAGTAGTAGTAGTAGTGATAACAATAATAATACTGCACTGCAAGCCCTATTGGTGTCCTTCATTCTGGGTTAGAACTACAACAAGAAACATCCAGTTTTGTGGGTTTGGGTTTCTGAGAGCTCTTTGTAAGTCTTCCTGAGGCAGTAGCTCGAATGCCTGAGAGGAGAAATTGCCTTTGCTTGTTCTGATGCAACCTCTCTGAGTATTCCAAGACCTCCCCAGAAATAGCCCTTGGCCTTTCTTCTGGATGATGGAGAGCTGGTGAAAGGTAGTGAGGGGTGGAGGAGCCCCTGCAGTAGACAGATGATTCAGTCCCAACACGGAGTTGCTGTGAGTTGTACGGGTTTATTCCTCTGGAAGGGCCAAAGCCTGGCAGCAGAGAGGCTGCGTCACTCCAGATTTCACCCCGACTGCCTCTGCTATCATTACTTCTATAATCGGTGTCACACCATGGCCTGTTGCTAACTTTTCCTCCTTATTTTATTATGTAGGCCCCTTTCTGTCTGCAGGCAGTGAGCTTTCCAGTGATGACAGTATTTACTGAAGGGAGCAGAGCTGTCAGTTTGGACACACATGGGAAGACTGCAGGAAAAAGGAGGCGAGCCTCAGTATCTGCCTCAGCTTCACTCAGGGTTTGCTGAGCCTGCCAAAGTCTCAATGGTGTGAGTGGATCACTGGGACTCTGAAGAAAGCAGCCATGAAGAAATCTGTCAGAGATTAAAACCGTATGTGCATGGTGACCCACCAGTGCTAAGGGCTAACTCCAGAAACTGAGGCCAAATGCATGGGAAGGAAGTGCTAGTGGGGTTAAATATGGGTTTACAAACTCCATCCAGCTTTGACAGGAGGAGCCCAGGAGTGCTCACTCAGTGGCCATCTCTCAGGAGGATCAGGAGGTGAATACACATGGAGGGATTTGAAGTATCAGGGATGCTGCTCTGGGTTCTCCAGCAGAGAAAACACGCTGTTGCTATGGGTCCATACATAACTTAACAGTTGGAAGAAAGCCCAGCAGTTTTGCTGGTCAATAATTTTTCAGAGCTGGGAGAAAAGCTTGAGTTGGGCTTAGAGATTGTGCTTTCTGTCTATGACCTGATTTGCTCTGACTTCACATGAACAACAAAATGTGTTCAGTGTCACTACTGATAACCTACTTTCTCGAAGGAAAGAGTCTCACTCTCAGACAAACGGTGCCTTCAACCTTTAAGGAAGAAAAAGAAGAAGGTGGTTTGTAAATTAAACCCCTTTGGATGCCTGGTTATTAATAACTTCCCTTGATTTTGCTATCTCCCTTCTTGAAACTCGAACACATACTTTGGAATAACAGTAGTGATTTTAAAATACCCACTAGCATCTTCATTGATAATGCAAATTCCCTGATCCCAGCCGAGTTCAGGCTTTGGCAGTTGCTTTTCATTCATGCTGGTGAATGCAGGAGCAGAATGGGGTCCTATAATTAAACTCCCTGCAAGGCATTCCTTCCCCTCCTCAACTTAAGGGAAGGCTGGAAACGCTTCATCCAGTAACCCTTGTTATCCTCAGAAGCTGACAGTGTGGGGTGTGAAACCTTTAAGCTGTGGCACCAAGGACTGAATTTGACTCTTGATGCAGCTCTGGATCATGTCATGTTCTGTCCGAGACCTACGTAGTTCAATAAATTGGGCAACATATGGGAAGAATAGATTCTGAGGGAAATGGGATGACCTCACCCTAATCTTGAAGCTTGGGCTGAGATTTAAAAAGGAGAGCAGTCAATTCCTACCCACTGCAGGATAACCTAACCTCTTTCCTGTAGTACACAGAAGAGAAACAGATAAAGGCAGCTCCCAAGGACACCACTTTTTGCCCAAACTTTACCAATCACTTGTAAAAAAAGAGGTGTAGTGAATTGATAAATGCAAAGCAAAATCCTTTGGACAGGAGGGAAAAACTGGTGTCAATGACACCATTTTCCAGCCCCTAGATGTACTCAGGCTGGTCTTCCCGGAACACTTGCGTTATGGAATTCCAGCAATCAAGTAATATCATCACACGGACGTGGCCTGACAGGCCTCTTACCACACACAAGCTATGTGTGTTGTCAACATAAACTTGCTTATCGTGTGTCTCACAATTGATGCTGGTTTTTCTCTCCTTAGCAGCAAGCGCTGTGAATCCCACAGAGGACCTCGCATGAACTTTATGCGTCAGTCAAAGCTGGTTTTGTGTGGAGTAGCTGCTATATGTTTTGTTTGACTCGTTTGGGCTTTGGTTTTTAATTCTAATTCGTATTCTTGTTCGTGGCTTGCAGAAGTTGCCTGGAAACCATCTGGTGTCAGCTCGCTCCGCCAGGACACACGCTCCCATGTGCAGGCAGAGAGATAAGCGTAACTTCTGAGTCTTTAAAATGAAATTCAATTACCATCCCCCTTTCCCCCTCCCATGGATGTGATAGATGAGAACCAAAACACATCAAAACAAAGTCAGTAAAGTCTGGTGTGGGTATTGCGTGGGGCTGTGTGGATGGAGAAGGAGGTCTCGAGGTGGTGGCAGAGCTGCATTTGCCCCCATTACAAGATCCAGCAGGCTTCTGGTGGACCCTTCTCTGCTCCTGGCAATAGAGAGCAGCCACAGACGTGGTTCTCCTGAGCTTTTTGCCTCCCTGCTTGTGAAGGTAACAGTTATTTCCTTCACCATGCATCCTGCCCGAAATCTCCCCTTGGCTCTCCCTGTCTCCTGTGGTGGTTGTGATGAGAAGTGGTTAGAGAAAAGCAGACTGAGAGGGGATCCCATCAATGCAGATCAGTATCTCAAAGGTGGGCACCAGGAGGATGGTGCCAGGCTCCTTCCAGGGGTGCCCAGCGACAGGACAAGGAGCAATGGCCATAAACTAGCACACAACAAGTGTGTTCCTCAGCATGAGGAAGAACTTCTTCACACTGAGGGTGTCAGAGCACTGAACAGGCTGCACAGGGACGTGTGGAGTCTCCCTCTCTTGATACATCCCAAACCCTCAGGGACACGTTCCTGTGTGCCCTGCTCTGGACTGGGTGTTCTACAGAGGGGCCTTCCAACCATAATGGTTCTTCTTGTGTTCTTCCAGGATAAAATCACCTTAC